CTTGAAAAAAGTAATCGGATTACAGTAACGCGTTACAAGTAACGCGTTACTGCCCATCTCTGTTCACTATGAAAAATGCCCAATCCTAACTTTAATGTGCTCTTAGCACTCTTAATGTACTCTTACTACATTAAACTTAGGATCATCTTAGTTATCAATCTTAGTTAGTCTCAGAGCGATTCTTTTCTGGAGCGTCTGACAAACTGTGGGCTGTAGTTACAACGTAAGGTTTAAAAAGTGAGCTTAAAAATGTGCCACACATGACTAGTGCTAATAAGAAGCCAGAGAGACTTGAAATGACCACTTATTATTTTTAGGGGGTTGTTTATAAAAGGAGACTGCATGGCCAGGTCCTTGATGTTATACAATAGGGCTGAAAACACCTGAATTCAAATATTAGACGGTAATACCCCAATATTTTTGCTGATATTATGACAACATCAAGCAAGTCAAGGAATGGCCAAAAACCAACTAAAATGACCTTTAGATAGGAGAGCAGGATGGACATGTACTAAAAATGGACAACAGGTGATGTTTTAAAAGAAAACATTGAATTTGTTATGTTATGAAAAAAAATTGTAATCCAGTGATTTCCTTTAAAATGTATCTGTTGTTTCAAATGGGTGATGCAATATCTTCCTTGTTATTTCTCGCTCAGAGAAAGAAAAAATAGTTCATTACAAGCAATACTGAACTATCCTTACTGACTAGAGCCAAAGAGGTTAGTCAATGAAATGAGTAATCTGCTGACAGAAAATTTTTGACAGTAAACTTTGATCAGTGGGTAAGATTATAGCTATTTTTTTAAGTAATAGCACTCACTATTTGCAGATTTCACCATCTAAAGTCTGCACACCCACCCCCAACATAACACATGTGTATATACAATGTATGTTCTTCGTTTCTTATAATGTATGTGATTATTTATTTAACCTTAAGGAAATACAAAGCAAGCAAAAGGGAGAACTAAAGTTGCAACAGATGCAAGCAAGGGACAATACTGGAAAAGGGCAGAGAGAAGCAGTGAAATTCTGACAAGGACGGGGTGATAAGGTGACAAAGAGACAAATACAAACCAGATCATTTGTTATACAGAAAGAAGGTGACACAAAAACACAGAGAGATATGGATAACTTTAAAGTAAACAAAGATAAGAAATGGGTTTGTTTCTCAGTCGTGAGCAATTGTAAATGTTACTTAGAAGGTGTTTTTCATCTGTAATAGCTCAGTTAACTCTTAGCTTGTCGTGGTGAATGAATTGCTGTGCTACAGTCACTATTCAAACAGAGAGAGATGCGAACAGGACAAAAGAGATGCATGAAGGGGGGAAAGAGAGGACAAAGTGGGGAAAATGCCAGCAGATCAAAATGTATAGGAGGAATTACAGTTACTCGAGCAGCCAATTGCTCAAAGTGACGCTCATTAGCATATTAATCATTAGCATGGAGCGGCTGCCATGATGCACGAGGCTCAGAGCCACGTCTACAGTTACAGAGGTTTCTGTTCATGTTCGCTGCCACAGCCAAATATACAGCCTCTCTCCTGTTTCCAGTGCCATGGTGCAGAAAAAGCACAACACTATTTAAGGCAAACACATTCAATTTAAGGCTGCAGAAATGTCAGAAGAAACCCTGACTGTCTATACAGCTGTAAATCTTCTACACAGCTACAAGATGTTGTTCTGAAACAGTTTGACTGTAAAGAAAGACTTGCTTCAACCCTCAGTTATAAGGCAGAGGGCCAAACCTTGAGATGTTTTCCCATCACATCTGCAGTGTGAGAAACTGAAAGCTGTATGTCAAGTCTCTAGTATTAATTAAGTTGATGCTGATTTAACTCTGCAATGACAAGCACCCCATATTTAATACATGAGTCTTTGTGAGTTTTTGACACTGAGTTTTCAACAGTGTGACACCCCCATCTCCCCACCTCAACCCCACAAAACAAAAATAAAATGAACATATTTAAGCAATAAATTGAAAAAAATAAAACGTCGCATGCAGAAAATATACAAATTAAAACTTACATATATACAAATTAATATCTAAAATTTGTTTTTACTTGTGAGAAGCTTCATTAAACACTCACAGGAATTTTCTGGCAGCTTTTTCAAAGTTCAAGCTTTAAAGAGTTAAATCACATTAATTTGAATTTTCAGGCAGAAACACTGTTTGTTTTTTTCATTCACTGGTCAGTATTGGAGCCATTTTGCTTTCACAACATGTATTTTCTCAGACGAGTGAAAAGAAAACATTCAACTTGCACATGTGAGTATTATTTCAGTACACTCTGTTCATCCAAATGAGCGCATACTTTGTTTGCATATCAAAATTTTGCATTTCAAATAAGATTTAATTTATTTTTGAATAAAAATGTGCAAGATTTAGTAATATTTCTTTTTTTTCTTCATCCTGTGCACTATTCATGCACTATTCGATTCATTTGAAGGTTAGGACACACAATAAATGAAAAATCTTAAGTTTTCTATGCAGGGCATTAAAAAAGCTGTGCTGATCCTTCCAATAATGAATTATTCATACAGTGAGAAGGCCCAGCAGAATTTCCACAACCTTCTTACTTCCTTAAAAAAATGGATGTTACACTCAGCCAGTTTGTCCAGTCATCCTCCAAAACAAGACCTTACAAATTGTACCAACTGCCTCTAAAACACTTAAATATGTAGGATATAACAAAGATACAGTTGATATATCTGGTTATATTTTCTTTACTATGCTTGAAAAGAAAAGAAATCAAGAATCTGCAGAGTGATTATGCAACTATTTTTATTCCAAAAGTTTATTTATAGAATAAATGATGCCACCTACTCACCAGGGAAAAACCCCAACATCTCAGTTTCCATTTCACAGTGATTTCATAGATGCCTATTAAAGATCTACAATATATTCTTGCTGGGGCCGCTGGGGACTTAAAGCAAATGTCAATACTGGAACATGGTCATTAAAATGTGAATAATAAGTATTGTAACTTACCAGTTTACGTTGGCACCAGGTGCAGACGCCACACAGAGCTACCAGCCAAATGGCACATACTATGAATGCGACAGACACCAGGAATACACTGAGAGACACTGAGCCTGAGGGAGAGAGACAGACACACACAGAGGGTATTAGTGCATTTATTGTAACAATTAGCCTTTTGAAGCTCCTGAGGTTTAAAGTCTAAGATGACTTGTTGAAGGACAAAAAAAGACAGAGCTCAACATTTTGGGGAAATGCTTCAGATAATCAGGAGTGATGCTTAGTAATGTGCTTTCCTTCCTTATTTCCTTCCTTCCTTTCACCATTCATCCTTGTCATTTGGCAACTGTCATCAGTAAGACAGAGAGAAATGTAACAGGAACGAGGGGGGCACAAAGGCAGTGAAAAGGCATCATCCCCATGTTCCCTGCATGTATCAATGGGCGATGCGCACATGTCAGGAAGAGATAATATCACGCGGCCAGAAGCTGTGCAATTACCAGCTTCCTTTTGCTCTCTTCTATCTCGTAAATCCTTCAGCAACTTTGTTCCCGTCTTGACAGATGAAAACTTCTTCCACAGCCTTCCATTCTTCATCTCTATTTCTTTCAATTTCTGCCTATCAACGTACAGCTCATCCCGCTGTCTGCCAAGCAATTCGTAATCCACTGGCACAAAGCAAAAGCAATGTTGGCAAACAATGAACTCATAACTGTTGCATCCTTTTTGTCTCTGCTACGCAGAGTTTCTGAGTTCCCCTCCACCTGAAAAATTCATCTGACTGCTGAGTTTTCCCTTGATCCCTCGACTTCATTTTTTATCCCTGCCTGTGCACCGACAGCAAATTTGTTGAGGCCAATAAATATTGGAAGAGGATCAGCTAAGTCAACTTAATCATTCTTATCCACCCTCTTGCCCATGCTCGCACTCTTTCCATCTACTTTCTTCTTCTCATATTATGCACCTCATATATGTTAGTTCGGTTATTCAAATGTCAGCTTGTTTTACCCTCCATCCCCAATAAAATTAAACTCTGTTCAACTCTTTGATAGCGTATCTGATTTTTGATTGTGGTGGCAATTACTCGAAGATGGCAGGGTTGAATTTTTTGCTCTGAGCCTTTCACTCTGGCAGCAGAGGGTGTGTTGTAGTAAAGTGTTTTGGTGCTTAACAGATAAGTAGGCTCAATCCTACAAGTGTTTCCATGCCAATTTAGAACAACACAACTAAAGCGGCTACAGTGCTCCTCAGCTGAGTAAAACACAACCAGCTGGGAAACAGAATAATCCTTTCATATCTTTCAGAATGAAAAGACAATGTGTGCGAACACATAAGAGCGATGATTTTATATTTGATGGGGTGTAACCAAAAAGGCAAATTTATGATTGCATGATGAGAAACTTTAACCAGCTCACCACATAGAACTTCAAGATAGCACCAAAGGTAAGCCAGTGCATGATCAGTGATGATATATGTGCAAGAAAACTTTATTCTTCACTCACTAATTATCTCTCTATATAGTTTCTAGTCAGGTTCACCTTTAATGCACAAGATAATTGAAAGTTCAAGATACTTTAAAGATGCATACAAAGGACCTAAAAGATATAAACGAGTGTATGCACGCTATTACTGTATTGCCGCTTTCTTTAGTTTTTGTTATGGAAACAATGTTGTCATGGTGCACTGTTGTCGGGTGCTTGACTCACTTTTTACTTTAGAGAGAAAATTTAAGAGCTGCATGAGAAGCTCTTAACCTCCTAGGACCTGGCATCCACATATGTGGACATCACATTTTGGGATGTCTAGACCAAAATAATACATTTTGCTCTACAAAATGAGCAAAACT